AAGTTCGTACTACTTCAGTACTACCTCAGTGAAATAACCATGATTTCAAAAGTATGAAATTCAAAGAATTTTGCAAAATATTTGGCATTTTTGTTTCAGCTAATTTAGTTGCAAGTGGTTCTCCTCCAAGTGGTAGCAATCCACCAAATGAACCAGCATCAACTAGCCCGTCAACGGTCACCTCCCCAACACGAAGAGGACAACGAAATAACACATCTTCGGGGAGTCGACCAACTGGAGGTTCCACAGGTTAGTATCCAACTTTTCCGTGGAAATAATAATACTACATTCTAGTCTACAGGCTCAAACTCGCCGACTGGTAGCGATTCTGCGTCAAATCAATCACCTCCAAATGGTGCAGCTCCACCTGACGGCCAGCCTCCAGACGGATTGGCTCCTCCTTTACTGGGGAACATCGTTGCAGCTCCAGGCTGGAATCAACTTCCAGAACCAATTGATAGATCTGACAGCATTGTGGTATCAGCTGAAGAAATAGATCAAACTGCAAATATGTTTGACAGAAGTAACATTCTGACTAGATTTCATGACTCTTTGTGTTGAAATGTGATGTTTCTTTTTTAGTATGTGAAATGTATCATTCGAGGGTGACTAGGATCCCGAACCAAACACCCAAGTCAGGTAATCCGGTTGTAATGATTTTTGGAGGCACTAACTCAGAGGAAAAGGAGTTTCCTCACATGGTAAATGTTAATAAATTTAAAAAACCTAAATTAATTACTAACAATGTAACCAAGGAACAGAATTAAATTTTTATTGTCTCGTATGTGGTTGTCATAAATACTATTCGGTCAGGGGTTGCTTTTCTAGACACGAAAGAAAATCTGAATCAAAACAAGCAAATAATATAGATTAATCAAAGAATGGGAATGAGAGAACGAAAACTAAGTATAGAAATTAAATAACATTAAGTCTAAGTTATTCCAAAATTAATGCAAACTTATCACTTAAACAATAACTACTTCAAACTACCCCTTATTATTGGCCAGTAAATAACTAAGTTTTTTCTTTTTCAGGCAGCTCTTGGTTATGGAGACCCGAATGCGAGACGGTGGCTTTGTGGAGGAAGCCTAATTTCAGAAAACTTTGTCTTAACTGCGGCACATTGCATCTCAACTTCAACTCTGTAAGTGCCCACATTCAGTTTGAGTAGGCAGTGTAAGAAAATACTATCCAAATACAAAATATCATTGACTCCCTCAACAATATGAATGGGGCATTATAAAATACAATATTTTGTAAAAATCTAACGGTAATAAAATCTATTCCAGAGGAAATGTTCGCTACGTGAAGTTTGGTAGTCTAAGCGAAGTTCAGAACAGTCCAAGTACCCAATTACGCAATGTTGTTCGGACTAYGACTYACCCGCACTACGATCCCGTTACTCACTACAATGATATTGCTTTAWTACAATTGGACAAACCCGTAGACATCAACAGCTATGTCATACCAATCTGCTTATTTTCGTCCAACAATTATGAAGACAGAAATGTAATTGCCACCGGTAAGTATATCTTGAATAATAATTTCAGTTTATTGATAGTTTATATCCTTATCAAGTTGAAAATACTATCCAACTWTCTAAAGTTAAATCAGGCAATGTTTTTATGCATTTGAATAAACAGRAAAGAACTACTTATTATTATCATTAAGAATATTACCGAAGGAAATGTAGTAGCAAAAGTATCCATCCATAGTCATCCGTGTCTTCCTTCGATGACTGGTTCTCCAACTAATGTTGCTGCTACATGTATACTAATACGGTTTAAAACACCTTTTTAAAGTAATTTTTTTCTAATATTAATCTCAATAAGATCTCAATAGAATCATGGTAATACTTGCAAAAAGTGATATATTTGGTCCAAAATTCACGCTTCTTTGTGGATAATTTAAGGGTAATCAATGTGTAGATTGCTTACAGGTGTGAACAAAGAATTACGTTACGAGTTCCCATGTATCATTCAAATATTTATTTCTCTTTCATAGTATCCTAGTTATCCTATCATTTTATAGTATTGCCGTCAGCAATGGGTCCATTATCTCATTCTCCGAAATTCAACTGCTGGTTTTTAAAGATCTTGCCACTTTTATAAACACAAGTTTACAATACGATGCCGGCGAAGACCAAACTGACCACAACAACGGAAATTTTTGAATAAAATATGGTTTAGCTTTTAAAGAATTATAGGGTCCAATCATGTCTTAGAGCTGTTAGCAACAAGACTTGAAAGTTGCTTACAAAAAGACTAGCTTTAAATCCAGAGAAATCGAACTATGCAAAAAGAGAATGGCGATTGTTTTGTTTTTTTGAGAAGTTTTTTGWTCTGTGAATATTCTAAAGAAATGACAAGAGTCATTCATTTGCCRCGATCTGCGTTGAGCTTAAAACGGTCAGTTTTTCCTTTGGCCGGCAACCAAGCCCATRCCTAGTTATTCGTCATTYGTCCATTTGGTTGAATTGCACATTCTACATCAACCATTTRTCGGCAGAGATKATATTATTCSATCTCTGCATATAAAAGTGTCTAATGGTCGCATGAAMCAACATGTTATAGCTTCTCAATTGATCTCAAGTATTTCAATTCAGCATTTCCTAAAAAGCAGTTCGAAAGAATATCGACCGGTGTCATTGATGATTCAGAGATTGGTTAGCTCATTAAAAATGAACTTAGTCAATTAAAATAGAACAATGTCCTTACAAAACTTCAAATAATTTTAAATTGGCATTGAAAAACATGGCAAACGATTTTCTTGGAAATATGCGAGCAAAGAATTACACAAGATTCCAACAACTCTTCAAGAACTTGAAAATGCTTGACTGATTGCATTACATGTTTTACATGGACATTTCTTAGGGCATTCCCTTCGCGTAAAATATTGCTTTAGTGAGTAATGTAGTAGTAGAAATTACGGCAGATTACTCAAAGSCGCCTTAATTACYTTAATACTTGTACCTATGTGTACCATTTAAATAATAGTCAAACTGTTCAWTSGGGCAAATCTGTCTCTCTAAGAAAATACACCATATAAAAGCTGMCTAAAAAGTTCCCTTGAACTGCTTTTCTCATTTAACCACCTGGGTGCGATGTAAMTGTTGCAACATTATGAATTGTTTGTTTTATTGCCTTATTKCCTTATTTTTTGTGTCATTGTCGTCTATATAGGATGGGGTAAAACGGAGTCTGGATCATCCAGTCTAACTCTACAAAAAGTCGGCTTAGTCTACAAAAACTATTCACTCAAGCGGAATGCCAAGAAGTGTATAAAGTAGTTTCAGAAGAGCAGTTGCCATTAGGCATTCAGCAATCGATTCAACTTTGCGCTGGAAGTCATTCCGAGAGCAAAGATACGTGCCAAGTAAGTATGCTGCTTTTTTGCAGAGTGCGCCTGGTTGAATTATTAGTCAGAACTCTTGAGTTTTACTCTAAGGGATATTTGAAAGTTTTTGTTTACTAATACTTTATCGATGCGATAGTATGAACCGTGAAGCAAAATAGTGCAATTAAGTCTAGTTTCCTTTGAATTACTTACATTAGGAATGTTTTTGGTTGGAGAGGCACTCAACTACCAAACTTTGGCGTAGGAGAAGTTATTTCGATGTTAAATATTTGAATGATCAGTAGTTTTCGAGATATGACTGGTAACCACTCTTAGTAAAAGTTACATAAATGGAAAAAGACAAGTTTTTTGAACAAATTTACAACGAAATATCAACAATCAGCATACCTGGAGAAATTCTTATAGTGGGAGACATAAACAGGTAAAAAGTTAAATGATCTGACGGTGAGTCCATTCGAACAAGAGATTGATAACGACAATGGAAACCGATTAATTACAGTATGCGAGCAACTAGACTTAAAAATTTAAAATGGCCTGAACCAAACCCTCCTAAAATTTCAAATCAAGCCTATACAGAAAACGAGCTAACAAAAAACTCAAGGCACGTTGAGGCGAAAACCCAGATGAAGATTGTGATTGCATTATGTCAAGCATTAATTAAGCCACGAAAAAAGCACTAGGTTTAGTAGAAGAAAAATTGAATATTAGAAAATTATATTGGTGGGAGGCTGATATTGAGAAACAAATAGAGGAAAAAAAAAACTATATCAAATTTACTTATCTCAAAAAACAGAGAAGGCCAGGCAAAATCACAATAGCGTACAATCAAAGGTAAGAAGAATGGCCAGTGACAAGAAAAATATAGCATCTACTCTAAGGTTTGAGAAAATAGACTCTTATTTAGGAGGTCGAAGAAGTACTGAAAGTTGGAGAATCGATAGAATCAATTAGAAAAGAAACGACCAGAGATATAATTTCGCCAATATCAGATAGAGACTGGGATACATACTTAAAAAACTTTTAACGGAAGAAATAATGGAATTTCAAGGAGAATAAATAAACGATGCCGTTAGAACGATAGGAGCTCTTACCTTTAACATTTCCTGCTCCAGTTAAAAACGTATTCACATCCTTAATAAGCGAAAAATCTGCCGGACCAGGAAATATCCCAGCTGAACTTATTAAATACGGTACTGATCAACTGTTTGTGAGACTACGAAATATTTTCCAAAAATAAGCTATACGGAACCAAAGTTCCAAACGAGTAGAAAACATTATATATATCCACAATTCATAAAAAAGGAAGGAAAGATATGTGCGACAATTATAGAAGCCTATCTGTGACAAGTACGCTGAGCAGAATCTACAGCAAAATAATAAGAAATAAAATGGAAAATCAGAACGAAGGCATGGAGGCAGAAGAACATGCCGGATTCAGGGCCGATAGATCCACTGTAGATCATCTGTTCTGTATAACCCAAGGTATCAAAAATAAAATGGAGTATGGACAAGAATTGCATTTACTATACGTAGACTGACGAAAAGTATACGACAGCGTACCACTTAATTTACTTTGGAAGGCTTTGGAGAATACACACATAAGCGCTCAGTTAATTAAAGCAATTAAAAAGTTTTAAAAAAGTCAAAATAAAACAGAGGCTAATAAAAGGGTTTTAAGTGAATTAAGGTCTAAAGCAAGGTTGATGTATTTCGCCAATGCTCTTTAAGAATTATTTAAAACCAGTCCTTAAAGTATGGAAAAGAAAATGCCAAAATTATATTAAATGAAACCATTTTATACCAGAGATTAGTAGGTCTACTAATCTCTGTTTATACACCTTATGTTTCGTCGACGATCAAATTGCAGTAACCCAGGAATATGACGACTTGGAATATATGACTCGAGAACTGATAGAAGAATACAAAAAATGGGCTTTGGAGGTCAATATAAAAAAGACAGAGTATGTGTGAATTGGTGAAACAAAACAAGGTCTAGCGTTAAATACGGGACAGCAAATTAAGAATTGTGGCAAGTATAAATACTTAGGGCTTAAAACAACAGCGGACGAACCACTAGACACAAGAGCCATAAAAAACTGAAATGTGCAAGGAAGAAAAGCGATAACTCTAATAAATGGAATACTCTAGGACTTGAATATATCTAAACAGAACAAAAAGCTCATATACAACTCCGTCGTCGAAAGTATTGTTACGTACAGTTCAGTAGCCAGTAAGTCTGGCCAATCGAAGACAGAACACAGAAAATGCTGTACGATTTACAACAGTAACAGTTCTGAACAGAAACGAGTATTGATTGGGCACCGGAAGACGACGGAACTTATAAAATCGATTTTATATATGTACATTGACGTGTATATTTGTATTACATTTTGTACATATGGTTTGTTTTTATTTTCGTCAGAAGATATAATATGATATTTAAGGCGGAAAAAGATACAAGGTTAAAAGTAAGCACGGTTACGTTTCAAAAAACTGAAAAGAAATTCTAATAGCATCAAGTAGAGTAAGTCCTTGGATTTTTCCGTTTTTAATTCGCGAAAGAAAGTTCATTAAATTCCTAATTTAATCGACACCGAAACTATAGGTAAGAATAAAGAAGTTACAAAGTGCACACTTTATTGGGAACACCCTATACATGCAATTTCTAGTATCAGTTAATTCAGGTTAGTTAATTAATCAAAAATTGGACCGAAATAATTTTTTACAATTTATGTAATATGAAATAAGCAAAAAACAAATAAAAACACAAAAAGGTAGAGCCTTTGCTGTACAACATACAACTCAAAACACAATAGTCAATCAACAGCCCTTATCCAAATTTGTATTTAATGTTGCTTAAAATACTAAGATTATTTCCACTAATTGTACTAATTATCCAATTATGATTCTGGCGGCCCACTTCAAATTCGCAAGAACAACAAATGGTACCTTATTGGCATAACTTCAGTTGGCTTACAGTGCGGCCAAGTGAATGTTCCCGGAGTATATACACGGGTAGCACCATATTTACCGTGGATTCAACAATACATATTTAAATAAAGTATATTGGAAATAGCTCACCATGACGCGCATTAAAAGAGAATATTGTCATTCAAATATATTTAATTAATTATCAAAATGCAATTCGATTTCATCAAATACCTAATGCTACCAGTGTTAGGATGTGCGATGTATTCAGTTTCAATTAGATTCACCATAAAAAGAAGAATGCTGGAGTACTTTTCCCACGTAATGAGAAATCCGAAATATGAATTGCTCCATATTATTATTCAAGGAAAAATAGAAGGAAAATCGTGGTCCTGGTCGCCGAAGAACAACTTGGGTCAAGAATTTCCGCCAATGGTATGGGTTAAGCACCACGACACTCTTTAGGTCACCTGCCAGAAAAGTGAACATCATGCGACTGATCATAAATGTTGCTCATGCAATTGCAATGCTGTGCTATGAGGACACGTCACTTGAAGAACAAGAAGATCACAATTCAAAAAAGTTTCAAAATTTTCGACGTCATACAATGAAGTTTATAATACATGCATATCTCGAAAATGTTCCTAACATAATTTATTTTCTGATGAGATATTTTGCAAAGGCTCCATTGCATCCCAATAGAAACATTTTTTTGCGCACAACACATACTTAAAACGAAATTTGAAATGTTTGTATTCAACCAAATAGAGCCATTTTGAAATGTTTCAAGCAAATCTCATATTTAGTGGCTAGTAATTCTTTAGGTCGACGCTTTATTTTTCACCTGTACCAACAAAGTGATATAATGAAAAAAATATGAAATTAGCCATATAATTACAGTCAAAGCCGCTTCTTTTGAAAATAGTTAAAAGTTACTGCCCCGTTGTAAATAGTTTGGTTCAACTTTACCGTTATTTATGATATTCTAGTGGAAAATCTGTTTTCCAGATACTACAAGGAGTCAGTTGAAGCACCCCCGATTTGAATGTGTATCCAAATCAATTTGCGCCGCAGATGCAAAGATTAGCTCAAATGCTAACTCATTTGTTGCCAAATGATTGCAAAATTTGTGACACCTGACAGTGGAAATTCGGTATGAAAGGGTCAAATTTCATGAAAAATGTGTTTGTAACAGTAATAATTTACGTTTGTCCGGGAACTTGAAAATTTTAGTACGGTAAAAGTACGGGACTGGAAAATAGTGAATCATCAAGTACAAACTGGTTGCACGTAACTGAATTTAGGACGGTGTTTTTCGAATCTCATGCAACTTATGGTTATAACTAACTCTTCTAGATTATCCAACTGTAAATGTCATATCTTTCTTAGGAGACTTGTAGGAACATGATGAATAATGGTTAACATAATAATTTCAATGCTCCCGTCCTTTCCTTATCGGGGCTTGTGACACATCTAAAACATGTTCTTGTTTTTGAAGTGATAACTTCTTATGGCGTAATGGAGCGAG